GCGACAATGAGAGATGTTATCAACTTTTAATAGATACAGAGATTAATATATTAACAGGTACATGAAATATTAGTCTTATTATTATAATACATTAGGAGATAGTTTTTAATATGCTAAGAAATTCACATTATATTTGTATTTTATTAAAAGTATATTTTTTTGTATCATTCATTACCTGATTAATTAACATATCCTGCGCTAATATGTTGCCAATTGGAATAAAACATAAAATTAAAAAATATTTATCAATRAATGAAAAAAGTATAGTTATAGCAATTTAGTAGATATAGGTACCAAAAAATTGTTGAATTTATTTTATTCAAAAATATCAAAATATCTATATATTATATTATATTATATTAAATATCTAATATTCATCATAAATTGTTAAAATGTTGGTTGATAAAACAAATAAGTCAAAAATATAATAATTATAACCTACTAAGTAATAAAATATGTAACAAATTTTTTTATAGGTATTCAAACATATTTTCTGAATTTAAAATTCAACAATATCCACTTATCATAACCACTGATTTTATTAGGTTAGTGTAAACTAGACAATAATTTTGTTTAAAATTTATTAAAATAAAACTGTAAATCAAAAATTTCTATTGTATATTAATAATTATACTAAAATAATAATAATAAATACATAAATTACATTGGCATGTTTTTCTAAAAAAAAAAAAAAAATAATAATATTTATAATAATAATGAAAAAAATACCAAAACAAAAGGAGTTTCATTAAGATTTAGAGTAGATATTATCAGAAATTTATCATTTAGATATAATAAAAAAATTACCCATCTGTGGAAAATATAATAAGACTCAAGAAGATTGTGAAATTTACGTTAAAACAATTGATACTTAATTAGCTAAAAGTGCACGATAAGATGCAATTGGACGAACATTTGATTAATACAGTTACCAAAAGGTTATTTACCAATCTTACTGAATGCCAAAATAAATTATCATTGATAGGCAAAATAGATACATTATAAAACCGTTTAAAAAGTAAGCTTGGAACTGATGATTTATACCAGAAATTCTCGATTGGCAGGAGACCTTTTATTGGTTATGGTAGCCAATATTTTAGTTTAGCAGTATTTCATTATCCTAAAATGTGGCACAAATTCCAAATTTAAGAGTAGTTACCGATATATGGTATACTTTAMTACTAAAAAATAATAATTCATTCAAAAMGATTTGTATGCYAATTAWAAAATTGATTRATCTTGAATAACTAAATTTCAAATCTGTGTAAGAAAACATTATCGCGATAAATATATGTGGTAGGAATACACATACGAAGGCCTTCAGAGTTCAGACCAAATAGGTTTTGTTACACATACTACACAACGAGAAACCAACAACTTGTAGCGTTAAAATAAATTTTAATCCAAAATGGACATCAGGTAAAATGAAGTGTATCAATCGATTGAGATCGCCAAATTGGGTATAGATCATGAAGAGGAAAAAAACA